ATAGCAATAACAAACCTGCACCAGGCATGGCAATAGTGGAAACTTTTTTCCGCAACTCCAATTTTGTTGTCCTCCTTCTCCTTCTCCTTCTTCTCCTTCTTCTCCTCCTCGTCCTCCTCCTTCGCCTCCACCACCTCTGCCCCCACTTCCATGTCCACTTCCGCCTTGCCAACTCTTCGCCAATCTCTCAGAAACCCAACCAAATCCATTCAGAATCTATCAGAAACCCAACAAAACCATGGAGAATCTATCAGATACATATCATGATCCCAGCTATAGATTCCCAAAAATTATTATAGGAAGGTTGACCCCCCCTAAAAAAAAAGGCAGCCAACATTAATCGCTATATGATAGTGTTTTCAAGTTTCAGGCAATATAAATGTAAAGTTGAAAAGCCTCTGCTCTGGATGTCCCTGCAAAATGCATATGTTTGTCAAAATATGCCGCAAAATGAGATTTATATCCATAAATTATGTCCGTAATCAGTTGAAAACATTCAGTTGTTCATTTTCAAAGTATTGCAATGATTTTTTGAAAAATGTTTTCAAAATAGGTTTGTCAAAAACACAAAAAGATATGGTTTAGATAGTTTATGGTATCATATGGTATCATTTGATATGTTATGACATTTTTTATCGCTATATGATAGTGTTTTCGGGTTTCAGGCAATATAAATGTAAAGTTGAAAAGCCTCTGCTCTGGATGTCCCTGCAAAATGCATATGTTTGTGAGCCCGAACTTTCATAACTTACATTTTCTTTTCCCTAATGGCACCTAATGGTGGGTATATGTTGTGTAAATGGTGGAAATCATAGTTTTCTTTCAACACGCTGTGTATTTTGAATGTATTTTGAGTGTGATTTAGATATGATTTAGATATGATTTAGGTATGATTTAGATTTGTTTTTTGGATATTTTGTGGATATGTTTAAGATATGGTTTAGATTTAGATAGTTTATGGTATTTCATGGTATCATATGATACCTTTTGATATGTTATGACTTTTTTATCGCTATATGATAGTGTTTTCAGGTTTCAGGCGATATAAATGTAAAGTTGAAAAGCCTCTGCGCTGGATGGCCTGCAAAATGCATATGTTTGTCAGCCAGAACTTTTATAACTTACATTTTCTTTTCCCCCATGGCGCCCAAAGGTGGGTATGTGTTGTGTAAGTGGTGGAAATCATAGTTTTCTTTCAACACGCTGTGTATTTTGAATGTATTTTGAACATGATTTAGATATGATTTAGGTATGATTTAGAAATGTTTTTTGGATATTTTGTGGATATGTTTAAGATATGGTTTAGATTTAGATAGTTTATGGTATTTCATGGTATCATATGATACCTTTTGATATGTTATGACTTTTTTATCGCTATATGATAGTGTTTTCAGGTTTCAGGCACTATAAATGTAAAGTTGAAAAGCCTCTGCGCTGGATGTCCCTGCAAAATGCATATGCTTGTCAGCCCGAACTTTCATAACTTACATTTTCTTTTCTCTAATGGCACCTAATGGTGGGTATATGTTGTGTAAATGGTGGAAATCATAGTTTTCTTTCAACACGCTGTGTATTTTGAATGTATTTTGAGTGTGATTTAGATATGATTTAGATATGATTTAGGTATGATTTAGATATGATGCAGGGGAGGTTTCCAAAAGCCTGCAAAAACACATGGGGGTTGTCCAAAATTCTGGTACCCGAAAACGCCCTTACGCCACGCCGCGCTTTCGTGAACCTTTCGCGCCCTTTCGCGCCCCAGCAGAAACGGGACATGAGATTATGATCAGGTTTTCGTTTACTTATAGGTTTATAAAAAATTGTATTCAAACCTTTCGCGAACCTTACGCCGCCCTTTCGCGGCCTTTCGCCACTGCAGCAAAACATACACATCCATATCTGCAGATGTCACTCGGATACTAAAAGCCTTGCATGGGTTTTAGGACGACTCCCACATGAAGACTGTGACCTTCTGGTATGCCTTTACCAAATCTAGCAAGCAAATGCAAAATTTAGGGGGGGTGGCTAAAATGTATATAAGTTACCATGTCCCACATCGATTGTTACTTTTTAACCGCCCCCTAATTTTTTAGGGCCAAAAAAAATGTAACTTACAATTTCCCACCCCCCCCACTTATTGTAAGTTACAATTTTTCTGCCCCCCAAAAAAGCCAAGGTTAAGGGGGTGGGGATTCTATATTCTCCACATATCATGTCGCCTCCTTCCAACTTGCATTGGTTCCTTCCATGTGTTCTTCATTTGTCAAATGTGCCCCTTTCCAAGTTGCATGTGTTCTTTAAATTGTTCCTCCATTTGCCATTTTTGCCTCTTTTCAACTTGCATTTTGCTTTCCCATTTTTTCTGCAATTGTCATGTGTGCCTCTTTCAGATTCGCATTTTCCAATTCCATTGTTTTTGCATTGTTTCTCCATTTTTTCAAGATGTAAACATCCTAGACCCTAGAACAAGCGCAAGCCGACAGCACAAGATTATTGTATATTATTGTGTCGTTTTTTTCCCAAATGCGTACCGAAGGGTTCTCGTTTTATTTTGGGGGTCTGAACCGTTCGCAACCTCCGCGGACGTCCGAAGTGAGGGCAATATGGTGACTTTTGGAGGTTTAAAACGTCGCGTAGCATCGTTTCGTGTGGAACAGGCGTGGCGCTTCGTGACATTCCCACATGTTTCAACGTGTCCTACAGTAAGTCGTTCTGTGTGACGGGCGCGATACTTTTGCGTCGTTTTCCAGTAGATGATCGAATTGCATTTTTTCTTTTCATGCGCAGCATTTTGCTAAACTCCATGGTCATTTTGTGTGGCAGGAGCACTTTAGACGTGTCGCGTTGCGTGTTTTTTGCGAATTGCATTGTCGGAGCTGCCCGAAGTGGTGACAAAGTGCAAATTGCGTGGCAGGCGTGGGGCATCGTGAGATGTGATGAAAGTTGGAGGACGCCTCGCACGAAACATCAATTTTGAGGTAGCAAGTCTATGGGGGAAGCTGCAAAACCTGTCACTTTCGAAGGTTTCAAAACAGGTTGTAGTATGTTGTAATGTCGTTTTGGGTGGCAGGCCACTTCGTGACATTCCAACATGTTTCATAACGTGTCTGAAGTCGTTCTGTTGGACAGGCGCAACACTTTTGCGTCGTTCTCAGAAGATGAGTTGCATGTTTCGTGGCAGGCACCTCCATGGTCATGTTGCGTGGCAGGAGCACTTTAGACGTGTCGCGTTGCGTGTTTTTTGCGAATTGCATTGTCAGAGCTCTTAAGTGGTGACAAAGTGCAAATTGCGTGGCAGGCGTCGGACATCGTGAGAGTGTCATTTTGCGAGGCAAGCTGCGCGCGGCAATTGGTGAAGATCCGCCGTATGTGGAATGCTATTTTGCGTGGCAGGGGTCGTGTTTGAAATTTGGGACACTCAAGGGACATTCTATACACTTTACATCACTTTACACTTGAAACTCCACACTCTACACTTTCCACCACACACTCTCCACATCACACTGTACACTTGACACTCCACACTCTACACTCTACACTCCACACTCTACAATCTACACTCCACACTTTACACTTTACACTTTTCACCCTTCACGCTTTACACTTGACACTCCACACTCTACACTTTACACTCCACACTTTATACTCGACACTTCACACACCACAATCCCCACTTCATTGATTCATACCCTGCACATTACATTCCCCTCTCAACACTCCACTGCCTTCACTGTCTTCACTCTCTTCACACTCCACACTCTGCACTCCACCCCATTCCACACTCCACAATCTACACTGGCCCGGTAACACAGGAAACATGTACAAGACTGTTGAAGTAACTTGTTTTACAAAAATGGTTTTGCGTGACAGCATTCGGGTTTGTTGGTAAGTTTCTCTTGTTGTCTTGTGAAATATTGAGAATCTGGTGGTTGCATGTCTTATGGCATGTGTTTTTAAATTCATATTAGCTACAGCCACAGCCATCTATACTCTGAGACATCGCAACTGCGAAGTAACTGGGCCGCAGGGAACCAGTTACAGCAGCTACTGATTGAAACAGATCATTTGCATTGCACTCTATCATACTACTGCATTAGTCCAAAAAACTGTTTTTTACAGTGCAATGTCCTAAAGTCACACTACATGACAACTACATGCATCCGTTGATGCATACATCATATTTTATCCCGTTAATATCATATTATAGTTATTTTATCATATTCAAACTCTAACATATTGCATTGAACCAAATTCCACTACCCTCTGGTTATTTAATGTAGCTATGGAAAATCACCATTTTAGAGCAAGTTAAAACGGTAAATCACAATGTTTATCATCGAACTAAATGGGCAATGACTTCCAGTTCGCATAGTCTTAGTCAAGACCAGAGGGTAATACCCATGTTTGGTCCTATCTCCATTGTATCCCCACTAAATCCTCATTGTATAATGTTAAATTACCATATATAGCAAGCTGTTAAAAAAAAAACCTGAGGGTGCCCCTGTTGTATGTGGATATGATATACATATCAGATATATATATATAATACGAAATATCATATCATACATATACATATATATATATGTATAATGTTTCACATATCCCATCTACATATCCAATTTAAAGAGTAGTCTTGCTTGGGTGTGCTTCCCACGAATCGTAAATGGGTCAAAACCCACCAGTTAGATGAACGGAATTTCCCCACTGGATCATGTGGATATGGTTGTTTTCCATAGCAAAACATTCAAGGATTAATTAGACTACCCATCCAGTTTGCTGGGGAGGTATAGATCTAAGCCCCTAATCAACCCAAACGTTGTTTACTGGAGTTATATTCACCGTAACTGTGCAATTTAGCTCACCGCAGTTATGGCCCTTAAGAGCCACACAAAAATGGGATGATGACAAAACTCCCCCTCGTTGCTAGGGTAAGGTCTATGTCAAGGCTAAATTTCAGGGGATATACCCCCAATCTCTATATCTTTATATGGCCCAGGTACAAGGGAGCTCATGCTCGGGTCGGTCGCGCCAAGCTCCTGATGTCGCACCGCTGCCTTCCTCGCAGCAAATCCCCGAACAACATATGGGAAAATCATAGAGGATGGGCCACCCCCAGTTATAAGTTGGTTTATGACCCCCTTGAAAAGTATAGTTATCCATACCCAGATGCTCCATGTATGGAATATTTACTTACATTTACCCCAAAAATGGCCCAAATGTAGGTAAATATTCCATACATGGAGCATCTGGGATAGTCATATCTACCATAAACCATAGAATTCAGCCACAGCCATATCTCAACTGAACGCTATCGCTCGAACGGGGGCCGCATCCTGCAAGAAAATATTGGGACATACACTATCAATGGAGGTTTAAACAGTTTCGTTTGTTGGGAAATCATCGAACTATTGCTGGGGATGTTCCAGCAAGCCACGTTATCAGTTGGTTTCTAACCCCCATGGATTATGTTTACATTACATCCATAAACCATAGATACCCTAGTTTTGAATTGGACCAACTGCGCTATCTATGGGCCCCCGCCTTGTTAAATCTGTTTGTTTGAAAATATAGTTTGGGGGTTGTTGGATATGATGGATAATTATATTTTTCGCAGCAGCCCAAAAGATAGGAGTCATATCCAATGTGATTAACTACGTTTCTATCTTTGCAAGTGTGTGTGTGTGTATATATATATATTTACACATATACGTCATGTGTATATGTATATATATATATATACATATGTCATGTGTGTATATATATATATATGCACCAGGCCCTGCCACCCTCCCTCCCCCGTACGTTCGACACTTGGAGGCTATATCGCAAGCCCAGAGGCTATGGATCAATACTAACCAAAAGGCAGCGAAGCAAACCATAGGCGCCGGAGATAAATCCTATATGCAGTATTGCCAGTATAAAGAGAGGTGCAGGTTACAGCTACATGTATCGAGACACCTTAACCCATTCCACCCTGCCTACATGCACAAGAAGTGGTGCCGCAAAATCGACGCCAACCGTCAATGGCACCCCCCTCCGCCCCCCATGGGATGGGTCCCATATACTGCCCCCATATGAGATCTTCCCCCTCCCCGCCTGTGGTGTGGTGGGGGTGTGGTACTGTCCCTCTCCCCCCCCTGGTGTGGTACTGTCCCCCTCCCCCCCTGTGGTGTGGTGGGGGTGTGGTATGGTATGTTGGGTATGTATGGTGTGTATGGTCGGTCTGGTATGGCATGTCTGGAAAGTATGGTATGTTTGGTATGTATGGTAGGTATGCTATGTATGGCATGAATGGTTGTTATTGTATGGATGGTAAATATGGTATGTAAGTCTGTTGGGTATGGTATGTTTGATATGACAGTATGTATGGTATGTATGGTTAGTATGGTTACTATGATGGGTATGGAATGTTTCCTATGTAAGGTAGGTATGGTATGTATGGCATGTATGTTTGGTATTGTATGCATGGTAGGTGTGGTAATTGTGTTTCATATGTATGGTATGTGTGGTCTGTATGATAGGTATGATAGGTATGGTATGTATGGTTACTATGATGGGTATGGAATGTTTCCTATGTAAGGTATGTATGGTATGTATCGCATGTATGTTTGGTATTGTATGTATGGTAGGTGTGGTAATTATGTTTCATATGTATGGTATGTGTGGTATGTATGATAGGTATCATAGGTATGGTACGCATAGCATCATTGGAATGTATGGTACGTACGGCATATGTTCAACACATGTAGTGTTGTGAGAGTACACAGGTAGTAAATAGGAAGTAGATACATAGCACATGTATATATGACTATGGGTGGCACGCAGGTACTTTGAGGGAGTATGTGTGCTACGTAGGTCGCCTAAAAGGTAGCATGTACCTAGTAAATGCGAGGCTGGTAGTCAGAAATGCTGCAAAGACCTAGCAAATACGAGGCTGGACCTCAAAAATGCTGCCAATAGCTTGCAAATAGAAGGGAAAGGGGGGTGCTACCTGGGGAACCAAACTCACGGGGGGGTGAAGAGGGGCCCTAGCATCTACTTCAAGATCAGGCTAAGGCGTCTTCCCAAGACAGCTCACACTTTTACTCTCAGCGTATTGCCGGTCAGTGCGGTGTCCACAGGGTTACTCTATATACCTCTTGAGCCTTGAGGGCGCATATAGAATCATATAGATGTGCTCAATACTCATGCATGTACCTCTGTAGGTATTAGGTCAAAAGAAAAACACAGGCACAAATCCAAAAGCAAGAGTAGAGCACTACGCCTTGTCGAACCCAATTGGTATTAAGAGTATCTTCCTGCATTCTCTACACAATGGCAAATCGCAAAAATCAACTGGAGTCTTCGAAATGAAAAACACTTGAAGGCAGCGAATGTCCTAAGGACATGTCGAAAAGAAACAGCGGATTCACTAATTTTTCCAGTAGTGACCAATTGTGCTTCGTGCACGGTCGCTCCTTCGCTCTACCGGTGAAAGATCGACTTGAAAAGTTCGGATTCGCAAGATTCAGAAATCTGGGTAATAACGAAAAACAATTGACCAAATCACGAAATAAACGGAAATAGCGTCTCTATTTACAAGAGGATCTATTTACATTAAATTGAAGTTCTGACACTTGTGGCATTGTCTCTATCTAAAAGAGTATATGCCATTTTGTGAAAATAAGTTGATGCACAGAAAAACTGTACAAGGTCTCTCATGCTGTGTTATCTTCAGTTAAAGAAGTATACACTCACTCAAAGCCAAAAGCTTTGTCTCCATGGTCTGGACGAAGAAGATGAGGATCCACCCCAACTCATGTTGCCCTGATAGGTTGTTGCCTGATGTTCATATGACTTCCTCTTGTTCGCCTTCTGTCTTTCCTTCCTCTTGTCATGGTTTCTCATCTTCATCTGGCTAGGTCTGTACTGATGTCGCTCATTCCATGGCATATCAGTAGGAGTCAAGTGAACAAGAATAGGGTTGTGAGCATCTCGATCAGTAGGCGCAACCATGATGTTATGATCACCATGTAAGCAAGTTTCATTTACCTTGAAGTAAAATTCAGCCACATAATTCATGTGATCTTCATCCTCAAATAGATCAGGGAATTCCTCATACACCTGACGTGCATGACCCCACTCAACAACTGAAAGCATACAACAGTCACCCTTGCCATCTGTCTTCTTCATGTGCTCTTCGGTGTATGCAGCTGTTGTAATGCCATCCAAATGCGTTGCAAGAGAATCAAGATCCCGATAGCTGCAAGAAATGAAGTGCTTGACCCTGATTGGAGAGCAAGTTGGATCATGGATCTTGCGCATGGCTTGTGTTGCAACACCCATAATTCTGTTAATCCAGAATTGTATTAGGCTGTGTTGATATGTAGGGACACCTGGAGATTTTGGTGTGGTGTAGTAGCATGCCTTGTTTCCATCACCTCCGATGATATCTACTTGATATCTGGCACACTCGAAAGCCATAATAGCTAAACACTCACCAACAATACCAGGAGAGTCTAATGCATATTTCATATTTCTGTCCAACGTGATAAACACATACACGTGTCATTCTCATCCTGGCTCTTGACAAACCTTCGATCTCTTCTGTATCACGATGTTTTGTCTTTCCCCAAGATACTTCAAAGATTGCCCAGGAGACTTGTCGAACCCGTGTGTCGTTTTCATCGGTGCAATATCCAGCAATTTGCCTGATATAGCCGTCCTTTCCTATGCAGCTGCCACCATCAAATCATGATAGTCATTGAAGCAAGTTTGCATCTGTACCTCTTCGAGACGCTCTCTGTGAGGATAAAGTGAACCAGCTTCACAATTCATGAAGAGATGTCCTCCAAAGTTCTTAATAACATTGATGAAGTAATTGTTGAACTGGGACTTGTTCTCATCGAACTTTTCGTGCTCTTCATCAATGCTGTAGTCGATGTGTGGAATGAATTGTTGAAATCTTTCTGGAACCGGGCATTTTTCAAATCTGCTTCTGCACCAGTTTCCCAAATTCCAAAACATCACTGTGAGCTGTGGAGAGGAGCGGTAAGGATATTCTTCATCCTTGTATGTTGGGTCTAGTAGGCCTCCACCTTAATATCTGTAAGCCAAGCTATGCAAGATCATACAGTAAGGCAAGACCTGGTTTTCCTCAACATAGGATTGAAGTACTCCTGTCAAATTTCCAAAATCATCATCAATTCTCCTTTCGGCTTCCTTTGAGGCTTCTTCTGATTTATCTTGATGAAGAGGATGCATTCTGGGATCGCTACAACCATACTCGATGTTGTTCTTGAGTTCATCTAGTTCTCGTAATGGTTGTTGATCTTTGTGTCTGGCAATGTACTCAGTCATCAACTGTTCATCTGTAAGATGGTACCAGAAGTCTTGATGTGAAGAAATCGTCTTTCTGTACTTTACATGCCAAAACATGTGTCGATGTTTCGAAGACGCTGGATATCCTTGGTTGTAGAATCCTGCCCATTCACCATGGTAACCATCTGTAAAACACTCCTTCAATTTTCGAAAAACTGAATCATCTTCATTTCCAGTGATATCTTGACCATAGTAAAGTCTTTGAGCAGGTTTTTCCTCAGGAGCTGTCTCATCATTCTGAATGTCTGCTTTCTTTTCCCCTGATCCCTCTTTCTCTGAAGAGCGTTCAGGTGGAACTGGTTCCTCTTTCTCATAAGAGCTTCCAGGTGGAACATGTGGCTCCTGTGTATCCTGTTCTTCTTCTTCTTCGGCAACAATCTCCTCTTCTTCTTCCTCCTTTGCCTCTTTCTCAACAACTCTCTCCTTGATCTTTCTCTGAACATTTTTGTTGCACATCTCAACCAAATTATCATCATCTGATTCCAAAATGATATGCTTGTTGCCAACATTAAAACTTTCGATAGTACCCTTGCATTCAGGATCAGCAGGACTTTGTCCTTGAGGATCAGGAAGAGGAGTTTCTGGATCATCATGTACCAGTTCTGGCTCCTCAATATCAAGGAAATTGTCGGATGTGATGCGCTGGTTGTACTCAATGACCTTTCCAATGGCAAGCTTGAACTCATGATAAGTATCAT